ATTCGGAAAGTCAATTGAACCTGAAATAATATATGAAAAAATTTGGCTATATGCAAAGGATGACGCATCATAATATGATAATCATGAGGATATCGCAATAAAATCAAAATAATAAAATTTGATTCCCAACTAAGTAGTAAAGAGGCCACTAGGGAAAATGAGCTAATGTATTCAGAATTAACGATAAAATTTTCATTAAAAAAAAACAAACAAGTCAAACAAACTAGAGAAAATTCATGTCCTGAACGAAAGAAGAAAGCGATTTTTTGGGTAAAACTTGATCTATACAGTTATTGTGGCAATATACATAAACAAGTGTGCGTATATGTTCTCATAATGTCAAATAAAACAAAAAGGTACGCGAGCATAGATGAGCATTTATAAAATGGAAGCAGGAGCTAGATATAAACTCAATAGACAACTCTAATTTGAGAGGGAAGAAGAAAGCAAATGTAAACTCTACAAGTCATCCAATTTATTTACAAGCATCATGCAACAAGGTGCTTAATTTGAAAGCATTTAATCGTTTAGGCAAAATGATAATAGAAAAGGCCAACAAACCTGCTATACAGTGAATAGGTATGCTTAAATAAATGCTAAACTTAGCTGTACATTAGAATCTGACAAAATATACAACTGTTTCCTTATGCTTATAATTGTGCCTATTTCCTTCATAAGTTGCAAGTTACATACAAGTGGCTAAAAAATTCCGACTTTATGCAGAAATTGAGCAGAGGAAGTGTATATGATATAAGAGATTCATATTAAGGCTGGCTGAAATTGAAAAAATAATTCTTTTGGGGTTTAAAAATAAACCAGTATCAGTTGGGAAGGCATAAAAGGTCAAATAAATATGCAGTTGAGGTAAAAGAGGGAGAGGGGATACCTAATTACGAACTACCTCAAAAACATCTTTAAAAAGCATACAAGAATTTATATTCATCAATGAGGCTTAAAATAAGCCAATGCTATAGTAATTCCATTATTACGAAAAACTCTTCAGAATTCCAAAAGATGGTAATGCGTAAAAGACTCATTAACCCCCAAAGAATGTAACAAATCTTAAATGTTTAAGTCACAGTGCTATACATGGACAATTTCATTGCTAGGTAGGACAAATGATCATAAAATATGAGAATAAGGTAAACACTGCACAGCAGTAGAAAAAGAAAGAATAAGGTCAATGGTTCTGTCACGGGAAGATTAAGATAGTATGATAGGTTAGAAGTTAAAAATTATGAAGAATAATTAAATGGCATTGGGTTAGAAATGAATTAGGAGTACAAACCAATAACTATGGCCGCAGAGGCCATTAATGAATACATGTGTAATGAGTAATAGAGAACAAGCTAGTAACAGGGACAGAGTTTATGAATTAAAAGAATGGAATTGATAATATAAGTTAGGAAAACAAAATAAAAGGAGGGGTAATGACGGAACTAGTCAAGTTTGTGCATAAATAATAACATTATAGCACACTGGAAGAATCCTAATCAGGTGGAGTAAGTTCATGAAAAATGGGTGCTAAACAATAGGCGGCAAGACAGCGTATCGGAATGCGAGATGAACTTCGCAGCCGACCACGAGGCACTGGAAGCCTAGTAAGACGGAGGCCGAGTGCACCAGGGACTGTAGAAAACAAAGGTGCCGGCACCTCAGATAACGGTCCTGCTCGAAAAAGCGTTTCAGGACTGAGGCGCTGATCCCTATGTGAAAAGGCCGGAAAGTGGGCAGAATCAGATTCCGCCACGGACGCCCAGCGGGAGACGGTTAAGGAAGTGCTAGCACTTGCCAGATTACCGCTACTAAAAGGGATGGCTACAGGAGCAGCATTGGCTGTAGAAACTGAAGAAATTTGATGACGTTGCTGAGATGATAGATGGGGCGAAGGTTGTAAAACCGGTTGCATGATGCATCCGCAACCTGGCGCGCCCGGGCTAGGATGTGTTTCAACACGACTTTGAGATCTGTCTTGCGAGGAATGATGGATAATAGCCGATAAGGCTTGACTAGTAGTGGCGTCGGTTTCGCTAGACCGCCGCAACGAGGATACTGTAACATCAGGCACACTAAGGTTAGGCACTCCTGTCAAATGCAGTCGCCAAACTTCTGGTAAAGTACAAACCCGATAAGGACCTTGTAACACGCCTGATTCGATCAAATAACCTATTCCAGGTGTGTACCACATTTGGTCCATATCACCTAAGGAAAGATCAGTTACTTCAGATTCGCCAAGACCGGGTGCTGTGGACAAGGATGTGGAAGAGGAAGAGGAAGAACAAGAAATTGGAGAGGAAGGAGAAAAGGGTGAGGGGGCCGAAGCAGGACTGGGTGAAATTGAGAGATCCGGAAAGAACCGCATCCTATGCGAATTCGAAGAAGAAGAAGAAAAAGAAGAAGAAGTAATGGTGGCTGTATTGGCTGAGGTTGTCGAAGTAAGAAAAGCGGAGGTCGAGGTAGATCCTAATGGCGGATTTGAGTCGAAAGAACGGGCACGAGAACCGGAAGCCCGAGCTGGAGATTGAAAGCGCTTTATGATCGAGTGCAATAAGTTAAATGGAACCTGAAAAGATAGTGGAAAAAAGAGGAAGAATTGCATAATAGTTTAATCAAAATCCCTATGTTCAGTAATGAGAGAAAATATAGCCAAAACTTATTTCCTTTCAACACATTATCTATCCAAAAAGGAATTTAAAATAAACATGGCTATTAATACCACAGTTACTGAAGAACTAACTCACCTTTAGCA